GCGCTCCTGGTGGCTGCCGCCAAGTTTGGCGTGGAGGACCCGAGGCCCTGCCACGAGCGTGTCTATGAGTCCGCCTTCAGCTCCGAGAAGAAGTTCATGGAGGTGGTCTGCCGGCACTCGGGCGACGGGGGCCGTCGGAGGGGCAGGGGGGACATCGCCTACGTGAAAGGCGTGGTCGAAGCCGTGCTCCCCTTGTGTAAAACCTACGCGGGGGGACACGAAGAGTTGCCGCTGAGGGAGAAAGAGCGGGTGCAAGTCTCGGAGAAGGCCTTGAGCATGGCGAGACAGGGCCTGCGGGTCTTGGCGGTGGCCTGGGGTCCCCAGAAGGACGCGCTCACGCTGGGGGGCTTGGTCGGGATGCTGGATCCCCCCCGCCCAGGTGTCCGAGACTCGATCTCCGTGATGCGGCAGAGCAAAATCCGAGTGGCCATGATCACGGGCGACGCGAAGGAGACGGCGGAGAGCATTGCTGCCGAGCTCGGCTTTTACGACCCGGGCGTCGACCAGACCCTGTCCGGTTCCGAGATGGAACGTATGAGCGCGGCCCAGCTCGAGTCGATCATCAAACGCGTGGCGGTCTTCTACCGGACCAGTCCCCGGCACAAACTGGCGATCGTTCGGGCCCTGCAAGCCGTGGGGGAGGTGGTGGCGATGACGGGCGATGGGGTCAACGACGCCGCCGCTCTGAAGCAGTCGGACATCGGCGTGGCCATGGGCCAGAGCGGGACAGACGTGGCCAAGGAGGCGGCCGACATGATCATGGTGGACGATAACTTTAGCACCATCACCTACGCGGTGGAGGAGGGCAAGTCCATCTTCTACAACATCAAGAATTTCCTCACTTTCCAGCTCTCCACCTCGGTGGCCGCCTTGACGATCGTGGCGGTGGCGACTCTGATGGGTCTCGACTGTCCTTTGAACGCCATGCAAATCCTTTGGATCAACATCATCATGGACGGCCCCCCCGCCCAATCCCTGGGCGTGGAGCCCGTCGACCCCGTGGTCATGCGCCGCCCCCCTCGGCGGGCCTCGGACCCGATCTTGAACCGGGCCCTCGGCGTTCGCGTCTTGAGCAATGCCGCGCTCATCACGGCGGGGACCCTGTACGTGTATTGGAAGGAGATGGGCCACGACGGCATTGTGAGCAGGCGGGACACCACTCTGACCTTCACCACCTTCGTCTTCTTCGACATGTTCAACGCCCTTTCCTGCCGCCACGCGGAGAAACCCGTGCCCAGCCTCTCCCCTTTCTCCAACAAGCCGTTCCTGATCGCGATCGGGGGGTCCCTGGTCGGGCAGTTCCTGGTCATCTACTTCCGGCCCCTCCAAGAGATCTTCCAGACGGAAGCCCTCTCCTTCTCCGACCTACTGTACATCTTCCTCCTCGCTTCCTCCCTCCTTGTCCTCGACACCATCCGCAAAGTCATGTTCCGGCCCGCCCAGCCGACGGGAAGGGAGTACCCCTATTCTCAGTACCACATCTCAGACGCCTGGCGCAAGCTGGCCGCCCGGTTGCACTGGACTGGAGGGGCGCGACGGAAAAAGGAAGGGGGCGGGGGAGGGGGGAGCAGTGGGGCGGGTACGATAACAGGGGGTGCGGGTGGGGGGAACGGGGAGAGGAGTGGCTTGATGATGGTGGCGATGGAAGGAGAGGAGGTGGCTGTGATAGTATAGCAGTGCGGGAAGGAGTCCCGGGGTGTCCGAGGGAGCGGGGGGAGAGTGTAAGCTTGTTGAGGCCAAGCGGGGGAAGGCGGCAATGCGGACGATGCCGTTCTCAGAGAGCAACATGTGTCGCCTGCTGTCTAGGGTGGGAGGAGCATTATCGATGTAGTCGTGGCACGGTGTGCATGGCGAGCTAAGCCCGTCCCACCCAGAGAGCCTTCCAAGCGTTCCCCCTTTCCTTCCTGTGGTCCTTAGAGCCTTGGGATCTGCTGAGGGAAATAGCGACGACGACCTGTTCCACACTCCACGGAGCGAAGTCCACAAAGCACAACGTAATATCAGGGGTGAGAAGTGTTCTCGATATGCTGGATGCTTCCATCAGAACGTTGCAATCCAGCACTTGCTTTCTCAAGCGGCTTCACAGCGTATATCGTTCATTTTCCTCTCATGTGGCGGAGCACAGCACTTTGCGCACCCGGATCATCGTGTTGTGTCATCTTCCATTTCTTCTTTCCGGCTCAGAATAATGAAACTATTCGCTTTCAAAACTTGCAATAAACGCAATCCACGTATGACTCAGCGGTTGCCTTTAATCGCACCAACCATTACTCCGCCCTCTCCCACCCTTGTCTCATTTTCACTCAACCGCCGTTCGCCTCATGCCGCGCAGCACATGCGACGTATTAATGGCGAAACATCGCCCGAAATACAACAATTGAAACACATGCTAGTCTACACGAAACTCTTTTCGTCTACCGACACTCTCTTCATCTGTACTTTTCGCTGTCTCAAATTCAAACAATGCACAACGACACCCTTCCACATCCTTGGAAGTCCTCTGGCTGGTCTCACGCCTTCACGCCTTCGTCTCCCCCTCCGGCCTGTGCCTCCGAAGTTCTATCGGATCAGCCGAGTCTCACATTAACGGGTTATGCCCACTCCTGCGCTGTCCCCCGGAAAGCCGCCATGACCACATCGTGGACGAGACGCCGAAAAAACAGCAAACCCCCTTCGTATCCCAGCCTTACATCGATCCGTGTGCTACTTCGTCCTGGAAAGTTGCCGATCCCCTCTTAGCAATCTAGCTCCTGCGATGGGCTCGTTCCTAGATCACAGTGCTCGGCTACTGCCCCACATCGATTTCCCTCTTGACCCGGCTCCCACTTCCCAGGCGTCAAATACAAGAAGCAGCGTACTCCGCCATGTCGCTCGTGCCACCTATCGTGATCCAAGTCTTCCTACACCACATAAATCCCCTCCACATGCACGCGCTCTCCTTTGCGTTCCCCCTAAAGCCGCCAATGTCCTTAGGGGGGTATGGATCAGAGCCCGATTCACGCCGAGATTAATCCCAGCCTTCGCGCAAGGCGAGAATCAGACCACTGATGCGTCAATCCTCGTCTTCCTCCTCTTCATCGGCACGGTTGTCCTGGATACGAGGCGCGCGACTTTCCGCCCGCCTCCCCGCTTCCCTCGTATGACCCTGCTTGTCCCCATCACCATGCCCCATCTGGAGATTTTCCTGCGAAATACTTCTCCCCACACCCTGCATGCCATCAGACACGAGGTGTAGTTCTCCGTACGTAGTCTGGTAAACGTCGAGTTTCGCCTTCAAAACGCGGTTTTGCACGCGCAGCGTGCGTACCTCCTCCTCCAGCCTCTCCATGATATCCCGCTTCCGTTTCCGAGATCGCGCGGCCGACTCCCGATTTTTTAGCATCCGCAGCTCTTTCTTTGTCATGGTCGCCTTCTGCTCCTCTGTGGGCTCGAACTCGTCCACGGAGCAGAAACTGCTGTTCCTGCTCATGGTGGGGGCGCTCGAGGCGGAGGACGGTGCCGGTGCGGAGGGTTTGCTCTTCCCTTCTCTACCGTGGTCGCTCCAACCCGAGTCCTTGGCGGTCTTGGAAGCGAGCGTCGAAGAGAAGGATCCGACTTGAGGAAACATGCTGACGAGCGAGTCCGCAGCCGCGTGGCAGGCGTCGACCGGCAGGGAGGGGGGGAAGCCGGTGGGCTTCTCCGGTTCGGGCCGGCTGTCAACTCCCGAGCCACCCGATTGACTGGGAACAGCGCCTCTTCGCGTCACGTCCAAGGCATAAGTAGGTGATCCTGGAGCTGGCGCAGGTCTGGGGGCGGCCGAGGGCGCCGAGGACAGGGGATGCGAGGGGGATGCGCGGGCTACTGCCTTCTTATTCCCTTGCCACACCGTGGGGTCCTCATGCCTAACAGAGGCAATGACAGCGGCCGCGGCAAGAGCTTTTTCTTCCTCTTCGAGCCTGTCTTCGTGGTCTTGATATTGCTGCTGCTGGGACATGTGCATCATTTTCTCCATCCGCGACCTCGGCTTGTAGGCAGGAGCGTTCGCTGTCATGGTGGTGGACGACGCGCAGGAAGCGGACGACAAGGAGCTTGACGACGGGCTCCGGCTGCCATCCGAGAGAGATTCGTCATCCGTGCGGCCATCCTTGCTGCTGCTTGTGCTGACAAAACTGCCTTCGTTAGACGTGGAGGATGACATGTGAGGGTGTGTCCGCACGGCGTGCGCATGCATGTTGCGGACGCCCCCGTCTAGTCCCCCTTTGGATTCTCCTCGAAGGTCGGCCGAGGAGGCCGCCATGTGTGCAGACATGGTTCTGTTCGAAAGTGCACGGTAAGGTGAGTACTATGACTTATTTCGAAGCGAAGAGGCTTGCGTAATACGACAGATCCTACAGATTGCGTGGCAGCTGGCGCACATCCACGTCAAAGGGGGCATAAGGTCGAGACCTGCATATCCAAAAACACAAACTTAGTGTTCCATTACTGAGTTCTCTGTTCAAGCACAGGCCAGAAGATGGAAAATCTACAAATCATGTACTGATATGGATGCAGCTACAAATTTGGGAGTTGCCTAGGTGGCGAGCAGGAGCTGGCAGGTGCACTATGGATCTTGGCCGCCTGTTTTTTTTACCCTCGACACCGCGACAAAGCATAGCGCCCACCACCAGTCCAAGTCTCTCTCATTCCATCGCAATAGCTTTCTGCTATACGCTGCGAAACACGCGGCCCAACACTTCATGCCAGGAGTGGTGCTGGCCTGGAGGTGGAACAAAGGTGCGTGGTGTGGGCGAGAGCTAGCATCGTCATCAGGCAGCCGTTACGGCCCTCCGGATCCTTCGGACGCTTTATACCGCCATGTGCGGTGGGAAAGACGTAAATTGTATTATATATCGTTGGAACATATTAATAACTATGCATTTAATTAGATTTTTGGATATGTGAATTCCTCTTGAATCGATGTATGGACTGCATCCGTACAGTTAGGTTTCGGCCTATCCGCAAAGTTTTGGCGCGAGTGATGTGTTCTGCGGTTTGGAATATACGAGAAGGTTCATCGTAGTACTTCGACATCGAAAATCTGTTTTCACCGAAAGATTCAGTTTGCCTTTCACTCCAGTTGTAAAGACTACAATGTATGGTAGTTATATGTGGTTCAGACTAACACCTTTATCTTCTTATCTTGCGCATGTCTCTACGGACCAACCTCCCCCTAGTTTGTCTGAGTCATGCCTCACGGACATATTTCACTGCAACCTTTCGGCCTATGTGCTGCGGCTGCATTCGCGGTGACCACCACGCAAGGGTTTGTCCCGCCCATTACCCCAGCGACAAGCCATGCAGGCTCTTGTGTGTGTTTTTCTGCACCTTCTCCATCTGTGTCGATTGCCCCTACGCCGCCTACAAACCCAGCAGAGGCCAGTCCAATCGACGCGCATGAGCTGCGCGGGGTCCTTAAAGATGCACTGTATCGCAGCCTAGGGAACGAAGCGACGACATCTTCAAGAGCGGGAAATTATGACGCTATGGAGCACGTTTTGGCCTGCCCGCTGACATTGAAGCCCCTACGGCGAGTGGTCCGCCTCGCCGGCCCGTTTGGTCAAGTGGTGAACATGGTCACAACTCGCGGCAACAAATATCCTGCGAACGAGGTGTACATGGATCTTGTTCCCGTAGAAGAACGAATGCAAGTGCCTTTCTTTTCTCCCTCGGCCATTGTCACCCAAGAGTTGTTTCGTTCCCCTCTCACATCCTTCCTGTACGAGCGAGGATGGCGGGACAACTTCAAGACCGCGGGCTTTCCTGGCATCGACGAGGAATTCAGAGACCTGGAGGCTTTTTTCGCCCCGCTATCCGATGCGGGATCTGAATCCGAGCGTGAGGGTGAGCAGCAGCGAAGGAGTGGTCGGGGGACTGTGATCGATCTGAGTTGTGGGAGCGGCCTTATGGCCCGGCGCCTGTGCCGGTCGCGGAAATGGAAACGGGTCATCGCGGCAGATTTCAGCGAGTCCATGCTGCGAGAGACTCGGCGACGTTTCCTGGAAGAGAAGTTACCAGTGCCGGAGCTGGTGCGAGCGGACGCGTCCCGACAACCGTTTCAGACGTCGAGTGTTGATGCCATCCACGCGGGTGCGGCCTTGCATTGCTGGCCTCGGTTGGAAGAAAGCCTGCGGGAATGCCTCCGGGTACTCAAACCAGGTGGGAGGATGTACGCGTCAACGTTTGAAGTGAATGAACGGCTTCAGAGTAATACGTTTCGGTTTTTCCAGTTGGATGAGTTGCGGCGCTTGTTTGTGTCGAGTGGATTTGTGGAGGTTGAGGTCAGGAGGGAGGGGGTGGCTTGTTTAATAGTGAAGGCTGTGAAAGCCATGGACAGCGGAGGAAGGCAGTAGCAGCTACAAAGAAATAATGTTGTCTGACTATTCCCAGTTGATGCGGGAGGCATCTCCGACAGAAACGTTCATTTGACGACGTGACAGAGGAGGACGCCCGTGGTACGATTCCACCCCCCCACACGGCACCATAAAAACCAGTCGCAGCGCTGTCGTGCAAGCTCAACATTAAAAATGCTCCATCTCTTCATGTGCTTTGACTCATGATTCCCTCGGTAATCCTGGTCCGCAGCAAGAACTTCTCCCGCCGCAAAGCCTCTAGCTCCCCGTGAACCCCCCCCCCGCCCGCAGTCGCTACGGTTCTTCCCACAATCCCTTCTGCTCCTCCCATCCCGTCGTGGGAGGCTCTGTCCGAGGGCGGAGACATCCCAGCCGCCTGACGGGATCCCTCGACGTGGTCGTGGCTGCCCCCGGTGCCCGGACACTCTTCCGTTCGTGGAGGTGCTTGTCGACGAGAATGCCCGCGTGGCCGATAAATTTCCTGTGCGTCCGCTGGCTGTTTGTACGCGGGGTGGACCGGGGGATGTGGTCGGAAACGGACTTGGTCTGGACTGAGGGGGTGCGGTGCAGGTACGTGCGACACTCGCTGCCGCGAAGGCTGCAGTGGGGCGGCGGATGGGGAGTAGAGCGGAGGTGGAGATGCTTCATAGAGTAGTGGTGGAGGGTCATGACTGCCGGAAACATTGACGTGGGGATGTGGGAATGGTGCTGCCAAAGGCGCAGCGCAGGGTTCCTTCGCGCCATAACCTGACTGGGCCCTCTGCCAACTCGCAGACGCCCATCTCCCCCCTCCGCCCATCCCACCGCCGGACCCGCTCATTCCTGCAAGAACAGGGGCCTCGGTTAGGATGTCATGGTCCTCTCGGCCTGCCTGAGTGGGGGGGGGGCTGGGCGCCGACGCGGGTGGCGGCGGCGCTTCCTGGCGGACTGGCTCCTGCTCCCGCCGCGGGATAGGCGGCTTGGGGCTTGCCTGCGGGAAATTAGATGCGCGTGGCTGGGGGGAGAGAGCAAGCGGGGCCGCATAGGAAGAAAGGGATGGAGGATTCTGAGCAGGAAACGCTCCTGCTGCCAGACCCCACTGGCACCTGTCCAGCCTGTCGAGACGATGCAGGATGTGCCCGCGCTGCCCGGCTTGGAAGGCCACCGCACTCTCTACTTTGTCCAAACGCGCCTGTATCTCCTGGCCCTGCGCGTGTATTTTTGCCTCCAATGTAGCCACGGCCCTGGCGGTCTCCTCGGTACGTCGTTGGCTGTCGTCTCCCCGTCCCTCCCCTTCGCCCCCCGGCCCCCTCCCCACAACCAACATCTGGGCTTGAAAGGCCCTCACCGCCGACATCGACGCTTCCGTCTTTTTCTCCACTGCCTTGAGACCCGTGGCCGTCTGCTCCTGCCTCTGCCGCAATTCCTCTTGTTCTCGAAACACCGTGTCCCCGCGCTCCTCCAGCTGGGTTGTCAACGCCGCCATGTCCTGCATTGCACTCTCGCGCAGGGAGCCCATTTCCCTCTCGGCGCGACTCAAACGTCTACTTTGCTGTTGTAACATCGCTTGTAGGCTCTTCATGATTGCGCTGATCGAATCCTCGCCGCGCCCGTCCTCCGCCCCTTTACTCCCCAGCACGTGAGCCTTGATGGCTTCCACCTCCCCGAAGACCCTCGACATGATCTCCTCCTGATCCGCGTTCTGCCGTTCCAATATTTCCATGCGAGCCTTCAGACGTTGCAAGGTATTTGTGGGCAACGTGCTGATTTTCTTCACAGGACTCTCCGCGTCGTCGTCTAAAAGTGTTTTGATTCGTTTGGCCAAAGAGGTTTTGCTCACCCGCTCCCGAAGCGCCGCTTCCACCTCTGAATTGTCCGCTTTCCCTTCCAGCTCATGAGATACCCTTGACATTTCTTCCTCCAGTTTTGCAAGCCGAAATGCGTCGCTTTGTTTGTAATGTACTCGGGGGTGGCGGTGGTGCCGCCGTCTATCTTCCTCGACGCCGTGGAGCCGGGAGCACAGATCTTGCACCCGAAAATCAAGACCTCTAAGCTTGGGTGCAAATTCGGCCCGCAGTGTCTCTATATGTCCTTCAAGCAGCGTGCGAATTGTACGCATGGAAACTGCCCCTGTCTGTGTCTGCTCGTGAAGGGCGCCTAACTCGGCATCGCGGCGCGCGCCATCCCTAGCAAGTTGCTCCTGGAGTTTCGTGATTTCAGTCCCTTGCTGATGCAATGCTTGAAGCAAGCATCGAAATGTTAACCGCACACTTTTTTGCAAGCCTGCGTAGGGTCCTGTTCCAATATATAGATCCTCTAGGCTTATATCACGGATAGAAGAAATGCTATCAGCCGCCATCCCTTGATGTCGCCTTACTGCACTGCTAAAAGCACACGTGAAAAACAATGAATTGCGACAAAGAGGAAGCTTCCAGAAGACGATTGAGGGGTCTGTGTTAATAATTATGGTGTGTATTTGTCACAGAGAGCTTTCTATCTTGCCCTTTAGAGGCTTTGTAGATGGAGTTACGTTCCTGAAAGTGGCGGGGCTTCTCTGGCGAAAGTCTTACAGGAGGGCGGCGAGACACAGGCGTTCATTCGAGACCACGAGGCCACAGTTTGAGAAAAAAGGACACAAGCGCTACACTTATTGAATCCAGTTATCCATCGCAGGGGCAAGACGGCATTTCTCTGGCTAAATAGGGCAAGGTCCGTGGAAATTGTGACCACAAAGGACGACGAAATCTTGTCCCACCACGGCTAGTGCTCCATCCTGTGCGACAACATGCAACTATCAACATCCATTGCCAAGGATTCGGGCTCTGAACCCACAATGCACCCTTCTTTGGAACAAGTAAGTGCAGATTTGACCTTGACGCATGGAAAGGGCTGAACTCTTCGTGTCCATCGCATCAGTCCCCTGACATTTTCTTTTCGCCACATCCTCTTCACGGGGCAGCTAAATTTGGACGCATTGCCGTACATTGATGGGGAAATGGACCCAGACATACGGGCGCGGGTCGACCAACTGATTTTGGAAGAAATGCGGAATCCTCGCTTTCCCAAAAGGTCAGGAGACGGTCTGGAAAGAGAGGACCCCGTCTAAGCGACTAGCTGGCCGGGTTCTCATCCCACATCCACTCGACAACATTTCCACAGGGATTATTTGGCTGACCGCCCGATGCCGGAGCTGAATTTCGAAAAGAGTTTTTTTATCGCCACCGAGCTAGAAAGAGTGGCGGCGGGGAAACCCATGGCGCCCCTGGATGAGTCAAGGTAAGAGAACATTCGCCTTGCGGTTTTTTGCATCGAAAAAATCTCACAACGATAAGAAACAATCTACATAACATCATGGAATGCAGATATGCTGGAAAGAAACCAGATCCTGGGCTGCAGGGAGACCTTCAGGCCTGGCGCACGGCTCTGAACAACCTCCGGGCGCAAGAAGAGCACCTGGGCAACAGGTGGGTTTCGTTCTACTGGCTCTGCACTTGGGAAAGAAAGTCAGGGTTGTATTTCAAGAGCTGCGTGAAATGACTTTTCTTCCAAATCGTGCTTTGGAACCCTCATCAGGATTGTGAACATGGAGCTGCTACAGAACTTCGCTCCAGACGTCTGGCTGGCCTACAACCGGGAGCTGGAGACTTTCAAGGGCAATCTGGACAAAGAGTTGGAGAGCCTTCGAAAAGAAGCAGAGTTGGTACGTGTGTGGGGGAGGATTTGAGGGGGCAGAAAAGAGGTCTCCGAAGCTTATTCTCATGATATTTTTCCCTGTGTCCTTTTCCAACCAGATAAATTTAAGTAGGAAAACGAAACAAGAAGAGGTGGCCCCTCGCCTTTCGAACTTAACTCGGAAAAGGGATGAAACACTTTACACGAACTTGGAGCTTCAAAAAGCTTGTGCCATGCTGCGGATGGAAATTAAGCGGTTAAGAACAGACGTGGCATCAAAAGCTGCTTTAGAGGGGCACAAGAAAAACGAAAACGAAGTAGAGGAAGATGCCTTGTAAATGAAAGATAGACGAAAGTTGAAGAGGTTGTGTAAGCAATGCCATCGCGGCCAAGAGCTGTTTTTTAACTTTTTGCTTTCTCAGACTATATGTCCCCCCTTTTGAATATTTTAGCGGGCGGCTCGAGCCCGCTAAAAGGGTGAGAAAGATACTGGTGGCTCGATGTCTCATACCCACCCACCACGCACTACCCTGTCGACTGCTCAGGCCACCACACCCGGTCATTTTTCAGACGTTTGTGGCCGGTATGCATGTGGTGAGTGTGGATAACGAAGGGTGTGGCACGCATCTGGGGCGTCGGCCGGCGGAGCTGGCGGGGCTGTGGATTGATCTCAGCGCTCATGCCCGTTGCCTGTTTTGGGTGGCGGGCGCGAGGCAGACCCATACGTACACCAACCCGTTTTTCTCTTGGCACTGCCGGTCTCCTAGCCAGCTTTAATGACCATGGCTCCACACCCTGGCGTCGCGTATATATAACTGCGCTCCCATGTATGAATTAATGGCGGAGTATGGGACTTACGGTGGCCACGTTGGTGACATGCGCTCGTGACGGGGAGAGGAATTGCTCTCTGGAGAAGGGATGAGAGCCCCCCTTCCTCCTTTTTAATCTGGAGGATTGGTTGTATTAGCTACTGCATACATTCACACATCGGACCACATCTTACGTCTCACAGGTGGCTCAGGAGGAGGAGCCCGCTTGTTGTCCTTTCGGGTTGAAAAGAAGAGGGAAGCCTCGGCGGATAGAAGCGAGAAGAAAGGATAAGAGCGCTGAGCCCTATCTTTTCTTCGATCTCAATCCCAGGAGCTTTACCTTTTCGCTGCGCCCTCATCTGCAGGGTTCGCAAACGCTTTGTGGATCGTTCTCGGTGCCAGTGTCTTCGACGCGGCCGTGCTGTATCCCGAGCGTCCTCATCTCCCTCTCCTTCCGAGGCCGAGTCTGCTGCCTGTCGTCTTTTCCATCCGCGCTGATGGTGTCGCAGCAATAGGCGGAACTTTTTTGCGTGAAAACCCCGCCCTTCCAGGGGGGGATGGGAAGAAGGGTCTTGCGGCTGCTGATTCCCGTCACGGTTGTGCGTACTTTGTAGAGAACGAAAGAGCAGGCTCAGGACAGACGTGTCACGAGTCCGAGGATCTGTATTCTGAGGTGAGGCTCGACAGGCTTCGCACCATCAGTCCTTCCCTTGGAGACGCTCCGACCCTCTCGTCCCTTCCTTCCCTCTGCACGTTGGGCCCCTCTTACTCCTCGTCCACGCTCCACTCCTCTGCCACCTACTCCTTCGACCCCTCAAGCTTGCCGTCCTCCGCATCGGTCGCGTGGTCTTGCAGGGGGCGGAAGTCTGCCATGGACAAAGGTCCGGAAGAACGGAGCAGGTTGTTGGTCCGTACCTTGGGATGCGTGCTTCAAAAGCTGTTGGATGTGAACAAGAGGGGAGAGACTGCTGAGGGTGACGGGAACTCGCCCACCATCACCAAATTCCACGCGTCGCGCCCCCCGAGTATCAGTGTCGCTGAGTACTTGGAACGGATCAACAAGTACGCGTCGTGCTCCTCCGAGTGTCTGGTGCTGGCGCTCATTTACATCGACCGGTTGATCCAGCAGAGCAACTTTGCCTTGACCGCGTTGAACGTGCACCGGGTCTTGATCACCGCGGTCATGCTCGCGGCCAAGTTTTTCGACGACCAGTACTTCAACAACCTGTACTACGCCAAGGTCGGGGGCGTGCCCTGCAAGGAGATCAACGCGCTGGAGGTCGAGTTTTTGTTTTTGACGAACTTCTCCCTCCACGTCACCGAAGACGTCTTCTTCCGGTACTTCCACGAACTTATGAACCATGCCGCGCATGCCGCCTGCCCGTCTTGTTGCCCCCGCTTCGCCAGCAGCGGGAGCAAAATGAATCTGGGCAGTGGGAGCATGGCCGGTGTGACGGGGACGACGGGCGGTGGGGTAGGAGGAGTCGGGCGGGTTCCGAGCCCGGTCTTTGTGGACGGAGGTTGGCTGGTCAATCGCGGTATGGGTGGCGGACGCTCTGTGTCGCCTGGCATGGTGGTAACCCCTCCGCTTTCCCATCGGCAGCACCTGCAGCAACAGCAGCTTGTGCATGAGCAGCAACAGGAACGGCGTCTGGTTTTGTCGGGGGGCAAGGCGGGCATGGCAGGAGAGGCTCAGCAGCCGATGTCGGTAGACCAGCGACAGCGACATTTTACGTCCTACTTTTCGTTCGAGAACGGTCCCGTGCCTGGGGCGTATCCGGGCTCCGCAGCCTCCCTGGCCGGACACAAGGTATCGGATGGGTTCCAGACTAGCCCCTCCTGCCATCGCCCTGTGCTACAGCCGCACGAGCAAGCACCACACTTCCAGTATCCTCACGTGCTGTACGCCCCCGTACCGGTAAGCTGCAAGCCACCGCCCCGACTGTTGGTCTCGCACGCACCGGCCTTCTACTCGAGCCATTCCTCGAACTCCTCGTCGTCCGCTGTGTCGCCCGCGGAGGCCTGTGGAGACGCAGGAGATGTGCTGTGTTGGGGCGAGGGAGTGAGCAGGCCGGCGTATTACGGCCAAGAGCGCCAGCATGGGCCCTGCAATGCCTCCCTGGCGTCGGAGGTTGCGTCGGGGACGTGCAACAGCCGCGGCGCGGGCGTCGGAAGCAGCCTACAAGGAGTGGGCAGCGGTTTCGAGCGCTCAGTCAGCCTCGAGTCTGCGGGAAACGGCACGGCCGCTGCGGCTGCCGTTGCACGACAAGAGCACCACCAGCGTATGGCGGGTAGAGGGGGATCGGGAGCAGGCGTTGCGGGCAAATGCTTGGGGACACAGACCCGTTTGCATCACTACCGACCGCAGCAGCACCAGCATCAGCATCAGCAGCTGCAGTCGCCATTTTACCCAACCCACTACGCTCCAGTTCAGCAGCAGCAACAGCAACAGCAGCGCCTCCAGCATCATTACAACAGCGCGGCTGGTGGTATGGGGGCAGGGGTCGGCTTGGGAAGCCGGGCGAGTATGTGCGCTCACTCTTACTTTCAAGGAGTCCAAGTTCTCATGAATTCTTGAGAGAGACAGGTAGTGGCTGGTATTCCTTCCGGAGACATCGTGCGTTTTGGTTGGCAAGGGGCTACTGAACCATAGAGAAGGCCGGTTTGGATTTGGAGGAGCTAAACACTGCCATCACGGATGAAAGAGTTAATGATGGACAGCGAGCGAATCTGATTTTTTGTGTTTGTTCTGCGAACCTTTGTGTCGGCAAGCACACTTAGGAGTTCCGTATGGTGTATATGGGAAATGAGGCCGTGCGGAGGGAGGTTACTTGCGCTGAGGAAGAATCTGGAAGGGATATTACGGACTTAATCGAGGAGACTACGAGGGAGCCGAAGGCACCAAAATCCAATTTCTTTTGATTTTGTGTACGGAGGTTACGAGGTAGGTACGAGGGTATCAATTTCGCAAGCCGCTTTTCTGGCATACAGTTAATAGCTTGAAGGATGTGGAAACGTCGACTTAGAGAAAGAAGGACAGCGGGCCAGAAGAGAGCGCGCCATAATACGAGCATCTTTTACTACGCATGAATGTCAATTTCGATGCCATGTCCTGGTGCCCAGGGAAGCACTACCGTCATAGCCCGGTTAGAAAGTTTGTACGGTGAGGGCAGAGACTGTTGCGGAGGGACAAGGACAGGGCGACCGCAAGCAATGGAACAAAACGCAGACATCTGAAGCCCGGAGCGTGGAGTGGCGACGAAAGGCTGGGCGCAACATTACAAGCAGAACAATTTGAAGCACACGGCAGCAACACATTTACAATCGCAGACCTGTGCGCTCATGAGAAAACAACGGGGAAAGGGAAACGAAACCTTGATCCCCTCAAAAAAACCTCGGGCATATACCCACGTCCACACCCGTGGCATACAAGGCCAACATGGCCAGCGTTTAAAAAATGGATAAAAACTTTTAAAAAGTAAAAAAAGAAGAAAAAACTGAACAAAATCGGACTTCTCGAATCCCTCTTGAGAGGCAGACATAGATCGGTGAACCAGATTCTTTTTCCTGGCTATATTTTGAATCCACTTGTACAATCTTTTTCCCAGGTACATTTTGGATTTGTTAATCTTTAGAAATGAAAATCGAGGCTCGTCACTACAGAAACAGGGTGGCCAGCACTTTGACAGGAATAACAATAGAGAGTTCTTGAGAACATGTGACGACAGATACATGAGCGTCGTTTGCCGCCAAATTGAAGGATGATGCGCATCCGCCCATGCGCGCTCATATGCATCAATATTTGAAAGCACATACTGAGTGCCTTAGAAAACCAGTATCGGTACATAGATGCCATGTGAACTTGTGACCCAGGCAGGCTTGCGGCACCTGCTACTGTGGCTAGAGGCGCTCAGTGCCTTGGCGTAACGGATTTTTGAATGTGACCAAGGAACACATCCAGGCAAGCCCGTTAATGCCTCGACCCCACCACGCACACACACGACCACAGACCCACAGCTCCTCTCGACGTGTTATGCGAATGGAGGATAAAGATCAGGAGCAGCCCTTGGTGGGGCCAGCCAGAGACATTGCGGATTTGGAGGATTTTGGGTCTGTTGAAGTGACTGACAAATGCTGTGGTGCCATGACCTGTCGCGTCTTGGCTCCTGAAATATTTCATGAAGCCAAATTGGGAAGCAGCTTTTCAGACACACATGGGAGTTCGACTCCCGACAATTTTACATACGTAGGTCGAAAGATCAGGGACGAAACGGAGCTCCGGCAGGTGCGAAGAGCAGTTAAAGCGTGCCCCTTTCACGCTCTTAAGTTACGGCGCGGGGAAAAAGGGGCGACAGTCATGGATGAGGACTTCAATGCTGCCTACCCTATTCAAGTAGATCAGAGCGGGGCCGTGTATTTGTTGGGGCACTACTCCCCGAAAAATGCCGGGGCGACTTGCTACTTGATCGTACGACCAAACGGCGGGAATGTTCTGGTCGATTGTCCCGTACCCAATGCCAGCCTCGTAGAGCGTATCAAGGAATTGGGGGGGGCAAAATATCTGGTATTTACTCATAAAGATCATACGGCGTTCACGAAAGAATGGAAAATGGCCTTCCCAGCCATCCAGCGGGTCTTGCATGCGGGGGACGTGGTAGAGAACCGAAAACATTTCTTCTTCCCCTACACCGGCGACGTCGAGATCAAGCTGGGTAAGGCATAGGAGAGGGGAGAGCAGGTTGAATGAAGTCTTGGGGAAGTTTGTCATTATATCTGGCAGTTTGCCAGCCACAGTATTTCTCATGGCATGTTTCGAGTCTAAGTATATCAGCTGCCGAAGCAGACTTTCCTCAATGTCTTTCCACGCGTACCTACATGTCATTCGCAGCGGGTGGCAAAGCCCAGCCCTTGGACAAGGAAGGAGACATTGTCCTCATTCCCATTCCCGGACATTCTCCCGGAAGCCTGGCGATCCTCTTCCAAGAGCACTACCTCTTCACGGGGGACTCCCTCTTCTATTCCCGCCCCCGCGGGCACCTGGTGTCTTCGCGTTTGCACTGCTGGTCAAGCTGGGAGGAGCAACGAGCCAGCTTACAAGCCCTTGATTCCTATCAATGGGCCCACGTTTTGCCCGGGCATGGGGAGCCGAAAAGGTTTTCCGGGAAAGAAGACGCGCAGGCCTCCCTTGCTCGGGCCATCGAGTGGATGGGGGAGCAGCCCGGCGGCTCGACCAGCATGGCATCCTTTGTGTGCTGGCTGCAGCTGAGGACGCACAGCGGGCAGTCCCGGTTTATGCGTGCCATCCCACGGTGGGCGCGGAAAGGGATCGAGCGCCTGGTGGCACCGGCGGGGGCTCCCGGGGCGAGGGAAAGGGCAAGAGCGTTGAAATGGGCCCGATCCGCGGTGATGATGTGGATCCTGCTCAAGGTGCTTCCAAACGTTTTGGCCTTCTTGTCGCGTGTGGGGGAGCGACGTCGGATTCAAGCACGGGCAGCGGCTTTGGTCAGGCTACCCTGGGGACACCCGTGGCTGGAGGCGGAGAAGAGGAGGTGAATTCGAGCTACCGTGCAGGTCGAGGGTGGAGGGGTAGATAGCGAACGGGAAGGGTAATGGACGGAGATGGGGGGGGGGGGAAAGGGTATGGACGGACTCGGACAGTGTGATGCTCCTGGACGTTGGGCATAGAGTGAGTTTTAAGGGCGTGGGCCGGGAGGAAAGACAGAGACGCGGCATCTGAGGCGAAAGACCAGCATTCACTTTAAATCATATCACCATAAGACAATTTAACGTGCCACCTTGTCAATATTATTTGAAAACTGACGTAACTGGTGGCTGTGCCCCCCCCCTCGCTCACAGACAGCGCCTGCTGTCAATCCCGCTTAATCGAGACATGTGGGTATGTACATAAGCCAGCATGGCACCCCCCGGCCCCTCCCTCGTGGCTTCCCTACGTGTCCTCCCCCTCGTTGAAATCCCACTTCTCCCACCGCGCCTTGAGTCCCTCTACCATCGCTGCCTCCTCCTCCCGCCCCAACTGGCAATGTTTCCAATTAACCTTCCCCGGCGCGCCCAGCAGGTCCGCCATCACGTCCCGTCCGAACGTGAGCGGCAATTTTCCTCCGGGAGGCAAGCGATATAAGAGCCTGGCCACCCCCTTGCCCCCCAGTCCCGGGACCTCCACGTACATGTACTGCTCCTCCTCCCGGAGGCCCATCTCCCTCAGGGTCGTCCCCGCCGTCAGGCTCTCGAAAAACACTCCCAACGCCGCCCCTTTCTTTTCGAAGGCCTCCCTGACCCCTGCCGCCTTGTCAGTGGGTACCGGGATCACCTGCACGTGCGTATGTCGGGCCCCACGCGTTTGGAGTCGGCGCTCAAACAGGACCATGCTCTGCCCCTCCCTCTGTCCCTGCCCCTCTCCCTCCCCTGCCTTCCCCTCCGCATACATGCCCCGCAAGGCCGCCTTATACCTCTCGAACTCGGCCCATTCCTCCTCCGACAGCTGCGCCAAGCCCGCCACGTGGCTGATGGGAATGAGCAGGAGGTGTTCCGGACTCAGAGGGCCCTTGGGCACGGCCATGTACAGACTCTCCCCCACCGTCACCAAGAGATCGACGGCCGCCTTCTCCGAACCCAGGCAGAACCAGCACTCCTCCCCAGACGCCTCCGCCACCCGCCCTGACCCCGTTCCCGGCCCCGGGGGCACCATCGCCGTGCGAGGCCCGGCGAGGCTCGCGGGGCCGTAGTGGCCCCCTCCCCCCCCCACGGAGGGTACCGGGGACGGCATGGCCATCGCCCCCGGGGGTGGAGGCATGGGTAGCGGCGGGGCGGGAAGCATTCCCGTCTGTCGAGGCATGCTTTTGGACCAGCTCACCCGCACGCCAGCACAGCCAAGGGTGATGCCCCGGGCATCCAGGGCCTGGCGTGCCTCCTCGTGCCGCGTAAAGGAGACGAAGGCGAAATCCTTTCCCTCCGGGATCCGAATTCGAGCCACCACTCCATAGTGCGAGAAACCACGTTGCAGGTCGTCGGCCGAGAAGCCAGGGGGCAGGTTTGCTACGTGTAAAGTGGTATTGGACGGGTCCACCGCCCCCCCCCCCCTTCCTCCCCCTCCTCCTCCCTGGCCCCTGTTACCTCCCCCCCAGAAGAACATGCCAGAATCCGCTCGCTTCGCCTCCTCTTCCTCCTGGATCTGCTGCACGGCCTGGTGAGACAGCCCTTCCCGTCCCTCCTCCCGGACCCTCTTGAGGCTCCCCACCCTCCCTGCCTCCCCCTGTCCTCCACTGCCCTCCCACTTGTGGGACGCCATTCCCGCCGTCCTGAAGACCGAGTACGGCGACTCTGTCACGTCCGCAGGCTCGTCCACCAAGGCCGCCAAGGTCATGTACGGGATGGGCTCGATGCTGATGGCATGCAGCCACTTCCGGGCCTTCTCCTTGGCCACGGAGGCCGGCGCCAGGCTGAGGAAACGGGTAACGTGGCTCAGCTTGCTCTTGGGCTTGCTTGCGTGGTTCTTGTACGGAGGGCGTTGAAAATAGATTCCTGGGCGGGCGGCAAAATGATACCGAGGACGCAGGACGACCGCGAGGTCAGCGACGGTGGAGGAACCCGTCCCGGCCGCATCTCGCACTCCCATTGCGCTCAAGTCATATCCAGCAGCGACGCCTTGGCCCCAGTCCGTGCTCAGGAAAATGTCTGCCCCTAAGAATGTCGAGCTGCTGGCAGGCTCGACGATTTTCTCGATGTCCTTGTCTGTGTGTCGTTGGCTGAGGAAGCCTACGGTCAGCTTCCCTACCAACTCCAGCCCCCCGGGCCCCAGGTACGTGCACTTGGGGAAGACGTCGCCTCCCGGTACCACGCTGCCATACTTGGCCTCGGCACTCGCAGATGGCCCTTCGATGAAGTAGGTTGGCAAAGGTACTTCCTTGACGCCCATGACGTAGTCTTCAAAGGCCGTCGTTGCCATCCCGCCCTCAGGTTCGTCGGCGGGTGGGAAAAACTCTCCCGTAACGAACAACGTGTCAAACGGGCCGGCCTTTGAAGCATTGAGCGATGCTACGCGCGTAAAAAGCAGGTCCAGACGGCCTCGAACCTCGCCTGCTACAAGAATTTTCATCGGAGCAGCTGCTTTGCGTTGGAAGACGACGCGAAGGGGGGGAGTGAAACGAGAAGAGAGGTGGTCAGATAAACAAAGCCTTGTCTCGTGACTTCACTTTGTCCGGACATAGCCAGGATGGAAAAGGAGGGTTTCCATGTGTTTACAACTGGTAACAGAGCATTTTTCCTTGATAGCATCTGCCCGTACATATTGTTAGGCTTTGGGCGGTTCACGCATTGCGGGCAGATCGAGCAAAAGCAACCTCCCCACCCCTGATAAGCAGACCACCCTCCAGCATTTCCCTTTCAGCATACATCCACAGATCGAGAAGCCGTGCACGGAGGCAAAAAAAGATGAGGGGAAAACTTACATTGGTATTCGATATCGGCCTTTGGACATGGTAGAATTCACAGCGGAGGAAATAAATTTTATGAAAATCGCCCTGGCGGAGGGGCAGATAGCAATCGAGGAGGGGGAAGTACCCGTGGGGGTGGTTTTCGTATATCGCCCGGACCCCCTCAAAGATACTGCCTGCTCCATTGACAGCAGTGTTCCATTTTTTGGCCGAGGAGAGATCCTGGGTAAGGGACACAACCGCACCAATGCTACCAAGAACGGAACGCGACACGCCGAACTGGTGATCGTGGATGAAATATTGGCCCGGGGTCATCCCCCCAGCGTTTTCCAAGAATGTGACGTATATGTTACATGCGAGCCTTGTATTATGTGTGCGGGTGCCTTAAGCTTACTGAAAATACGCAGAGTCGTGTTTGGCTGCAAGAACGACCGTTTCGGCGGGTGTGGCTCGATTCTGAGCGTGCACGGGGCCCCTCACCTGAGGCATCGCTACGTAGCGGACGCTGGTTTGATGGAGAACGAGGCAATAAGGCTCTTCAAGTCCTTTTACGCTCGCGAAAATCGACAGGGTGAGTCGGATTGGACAAGGGAGGGATAGAACGGCAAGAACTAAAAAAGGGGGGAGGGGAAAGGCTAATTTGTATTTTGGTCATACCGGTGAGATTATCAGTTATTGACTGAGAACGATGCGATTGAATGGTCCCGTGCTGCCGACGGCTGTACACAGACTCCCTAAAATCATTAATCTCGATACTCACACGCGGACGCGCACAGCGCCCGACACAAAACGGCGTAAGAAAGGACTCTCGGCAGTTACATAGGTGGGATGAGAATGCTTTGTTCACAGGCGCTTGCCTCCTCTGTGAATTCGCGTCAAATGAAGCGGTTATGAGTTGGAGAGCAACAACATGGATTGCCGTCCCCGAGGGTCCCCCTCTAGAGAAAGAAGCGGCAAGGATAGTGCGTGGCGCCTGTGGATGATGCAGGACCCCGTAAAGATGTCTGAGCGTGCACTGGGCGTGTCCACGAGCTCACCTGAGTCTCACGCTATGCATGGCTGAGGAGGGATGGGGAAAAAGGTGGTTAAAAAAACACGCCTTCATGTGTGCCCTGTAATTAGTAGCACATCCAGGCAACACGGAGATGCCAAAAACAAATCACACGTGCTACATCAATCGACTTTACTGCTTTATCGATAAGTCATCAACATGATCCCTCTTTTATCCTTCCCTGTACATTTGTGACTCTACAGCCTCCATCGGATTCCTTCCGAAGTGCGCCGCTCTACGCAGCCCCCTGCCTATCATCCCGCAATCCCCAACCCTAACCCTGACCTGTCTCGCTCCTATCTCTGTTTTTCCCTAAAAACACGCATGCCTCCGCCGCAAAGCCCCCCCCGTAGTCTTGCTCTCAGCCCCTCCCTCCACCCCGCCCTCAGGCCCACCCTCCACCCCGCCCTCAACCCCTCCATCTACCCCACCCTCAGCCCCTCCCTCCACCCCGCCCTCAGCCCCTTCCTCCGCCCCGCCCTCTTAGGCCCTCTTTCCCTCCCACCCCCAAGCCCGTCATGCGCATCCTGGCGCCTTCTCCCGCATGGCCCACCCTCCCCCCGCTCCCATCACGACAGCACACAACCCCCCGTCTCCGCCCTCTGCCCCTCGTTCGCCTTCAAGATCGCCTCGTAGCCCTGTTCGGTCTTGGCGTGGGCCACCTCTACGTTCCGGCAGACCGCGTCCACTCCCTCTTGCTGCCCTTGCACCAGCTCGGCGAAATCCGAGAACACGTCCTTCAACTCCACCAAGTGCGAGGTCACCTCCCGGATCGCCAGCTCCCGCTCCTGCGCCAGCGCCAGCATCACCTCCTCCTCGTCCTGGAACTGAAGCTGTTTGAGCAGAGCCTCCTCCTGAGCCGAGCGCTCGCCCCTCCCGTGGCCGGCCCAGCCCGCGTAGGGTCCTGGCAGTTTCGTCTGCGCGGAGGAGAACGCCGAGAGCGAAGCAGCCGCCGCCCCCCCACCCACATGGACCACCGGCAGTGGTCGGGGCCTCGCCTCTGGCACCGGACGCCCCCCCCCCCGCGTCGCGCGCGCG